AAAAAACAGCTGAAGTCACATTTATTTAGACAGTTTTTTAATTGTTTGGGTTTATTCATTTTATAAATTGTGTTGTGCTATGTGAGTACTTTTAGGCTTATGTATATTATTTATCTCTTTTTATCTTTTGACTTTGTAAAGCACTTTGTGACCTTGTCTGTGAAAGGTGCTATATAAATAAAATTTACTTACTTACTTACTTACTTACTTATCAACGTACCTGTCCTTATGAAAACTGCATTTCTGTATGGCTCAAAAAGATTTTGGCACATGGTCCATAGCTGTGACAGTTCATCCACTCTCTTACTGCCCTTACCATTCCTATGATGAACCTCCTTTTGTGGCCTGCTAAATAAGATAGACGTGTAGCTCACTCAGAAGCCTCATATGCATCCATTCTCCATCTTAAGAAGGGATGGGGTTACAGTAATATACAGTATCTATGTAAAACCTGGCTGGAAAAATGTTGCTGAGCTTCCTTCCCAAAATACATCTGGGTAAGAAAAATGTCAGTGCCATGGTATCCCTATAGCTGTGTTAATAGGTCTGAGGAACCACCCACCACAGAGCTAGGAGAGGCTCAAGTGGTTTCAGCACCACAGACAGTTCCTGAGCAGTTTCTCTCTTTGCTCTTCAAATCGGTTCTCAGTGCATCTCAGATGTTACAGAGCTGAGCCAGAAAATGAGGATAGAAGCAACACATTTTATGTTTTTATTACACTCCTGACGTGTGCAAATGATAATCACAAATCACACACCATCTGCTTCGAGTGTGTTTTTTCTTTTAACAATGGCTACACGAAAATGATAATTTACACTATTTAATCTACGTTTTCACTTTTGTTCTTATGACAAAAACACACAAATGATCACTGAAAGAAAGACTCCTGCCGCTTGTCATTTCCTTCATAAGTTGGCAAATGTGAAACTGTAGCCACTACGGTGTTTATGTGCTGGTGAACCTTGTAGAGCCTTCTTAGTTTGAGTGTTGATGACGAGCTGTTACCACAAGTAATGACTCACACACAGCCAATAAACTCTCTCTTAATGAGAACTAGGCCATAAAACCAAAGCCACGTTCCATTCTGCTCCTTCTCTTATATCAAGAGTGTGTTTTTAAAAACACCTTCTAGCCTGGATAAGTAGCTGCCATCTCCTGATGTGCAGTGTATCTCATTTAGTTTTCTCTTTTCTGGTCTCTCTCTTCATTCACTTCTGAAGAATAAGTATGTTTATTTTGTTAGAGGAGCAAAATAAAGACACTTGAAGAGTGTGACTGCATTCTTAGTTTCATCACCCTGACATGGGATGCAAATAAATGAAAAGCAAAACAAGATATTACTGCTGACAATAAAAAAAGTATTTTGACAGAACAACAGATTGATTATGTTTGTTTACACTGTCTGGATCTATAAAGATTTCTGCAATACTGTGCATTCAAAAACACAGTACCAATGAGATGTGACATGCAGTCTCTGATAAAACCTACAATATGCTGACAGTACTTCCCAAAATAATCACAAACTCCTCACCTATGAGAGAAAGCTGTTTGGAGGATCTGGGCTGCAGATCCATGCCATTCTTCAGCCAGAGGAGTTTGGGATTCGGGATGCCGTCGGCATGGCAGTGGAGACTGGCAGACACACCAGGTTCCTGGGCCTGTGTCTCTGGATAGACCAAGATCACTGGAGGGACTGGATGCACAAACACAAACAAAACCAAAGACATAAACAGGGAGAGAGGAGAGGGGCAAGAGAAAGCACAATTAACACAGTCTTCCATGGCAGACCATAACTCCTGGAGGAATACAGCACAAACACCCACACACGCAGTGGGTAGAGAAGAATCTGTCTCACCCAAGCATGGAATATATTCACACATAACAAGAAACCAAAAGCTCTGGGGCTGCTTTATTACAGCTCGAGTCACACATGAAATAGATGTTGGGTGTATCTACTACGGCCTCTGGGGAGGAGACCACAAATGAATGTGGAGAACTCCTGGGGGAAAGTGAAATATGAGGTAATAGTTTACATGAACAAAAAAGATGTTGTTTTCTGGTGGTGAACCTTCTCAGCCTCGTGTCTGTCAGTCCTTCCTTCCAGGACTTCAGTCAACTCTTGCATTCAACTTAAACCTTTGCCCCTTAACCCTTAACAATTTAATCTTATTATTGTTATTGTTTTAAGTTTATTACATATTTTTTCTTATTTTTAGTGGTGGAATGTAGCAACATATATTTGCTTAATGCAGTTTTGAGGGATTTATACTGTAGAGCACTTCTGTTTGATTCTACTTCAACTCCACTACTTTTCAGAAGGACTTATTCCACTACATGTACCTGACAGCTGTAATACCTAGTTAGTTTTCAGGTTAAAGCTCACATAAGCATAGATAACAGAGACACAAAGAGGTCAGACAATATTAACTTTATCTTTTTAGCAGATACTTCATGTACATTTGATATGTTTGACTTTTACAAGCTGTAGTTGAGCATTTGTACATCGTTGTACTAGTACTTATATTTTATAAAACGTATTCCACTACTGATATCTATTTTTCCATTATTATTTTTCTTTTTTTTCCTGGTTTACAGATACTTTATATGTGCATCCAAAACACACACATACTGTACATCAACAAATACCCATCTCCTCTCTGTACACACAAAATATCGCTGTACGCCCACACATGAACATGTGCTGCACCCTGAGCCTGTCTGAAGGTCCCTGTGATGACTCTCTGGATGCTTGTTCTGTCTTGCTACTAAAACAGTGAAGCACTTCTTCCCTTCTTCCATTTTTAATAATACGTGTACTTGATATTACAGAAACATTGTTCAACATCACTGATACCATGTTCAAGGATACTACAATACCACAGTAGATGTGAGACTAGATGTGACTATGGTACTCCACCTGTACTGAAGCTGCAGCACAGAAGGATGCACGGGTGTTACTACTTTAATAGCACAACTGGTTGCAAACCACCCACTTGGTTTAATGTGCTACTTGGCTCCCTTCCATTTCACCTTATCTCACCTCATGCTGTCTCGCTTGAAACCCCTTGAATCCCCAACACAAACATTTGGTAATTGTCCTCTCCTGATAGCTCACCCTTCAGGACCCAGTCAGTCTCCCACCACTCGCTCTCCCTGTGTAGTTCAAGGTCTAAAATACAATTTCAATTAGCATTTCAGAAAAACAAATAGTTGCAGCTATTGTCTCTCTTAATGAAAAGAGACTTCATTGAATAATTTGCCTTTGCCCATCCATCACCCTGAGACAAAAGCGAAGTTGGGGGATGGGGTTTTTTAAAATTCTTCCTCTACAGATTTTCTTTGGAAAGATGCCTAGTAATAAAAACTAAAAGGTTGGTGAGATGAAGGCCCATATGCATATGATTAATATGAGCGAGGCAGTGCTAGAAAAGTTCAGCCTGCCAAAATCAGTGAGCGTAGTGTGTCTGCTGGGTTTCAGATATATTTTAGCCTATGTAGCTTTTATCCACTGCAGAGAATCAGTGAATATGTTTCCCGATTCATCCCGTACCTCAGTTCTCTTCAACCTGCAGTATTTCTCTCTCCTCTTTAATGCATACAGTATTAGTTCACATATGAAACCTAGTACACATTCCATACACATTATTCTATCTCAACTACTTAAGCAGGTCCTGGACATTCTTGGGCCCAGTGTTTTACCAATAATCAACAGGTTCCTGGTCAACGGCTGTGTCCCACCCTGCTTTAAACATGCCCTCATACATCCTCTGATCAACAAACCTAACCGAGATCAGTCTGTGTCTAATGTTCATCACATTGAATCTCAAAGCTGTCATTTTCCCCCCCCAGGGTTCTTGAAAAGGTTTCTCTCAGTTTAGCTCCAACTTGGACAAATTCAGCACCCTGGAACAATTTCAGGTTCTTCCATTTTAGACTCCACCTTGTAAAAAATGAACCAGATCATAGTTCATGTTTTTATTTCACCTTGTCTCGACTCTTGAAACTGTCAGCCAGTCAAACTTATCTCCTCTGCAGCCGATTCTAAATGCAGCAATGAAACTAATTGTTTTTGAATCACCGGGTACCATCTCTGAACTCATCACCTTCAGATCTGCAAACTAGCTACTGCACTCTCCATTAAACCAGATTTATACTATCTGTGTCACTGCACGTATGAGAACGTGCGTCTGTCGCCTGGAGATAGCCTTGTATTTGTTGCATTTCTACTTTTGCCAACGTTAATGTTCTGACTAGGGGGCGCTTAAACAGGAAAGTACAGACAATATAGAAGAAGTCAGGAAATGGAAAGGGCAGAGATTTGGAGCCAGACTCAAACCTGTTATAACCCTAGGACCTGTGTAATACCGCTTTAAGTGTTGATATTTTTTCAGGTGAGAAAGTAACCATTTAGATTACCTGCTAGCAGATCATTTAGCAGAGGTAGCTACATCTCAGTCAGAACAGAGTCAGATAAACCAAACGATGTGCAGGGCGTGCAGATCTGTATGACACGTATTTGATCAGCCCGTCTGCGACCATCAGCGGGCACAGATGTTAACCCTCCACTGATGCCTTTAAAGTCCTTCTTTTCTGTAGCCTTTTAATAGTGATCATGAAGATACAACAGATCACTCTTTTTATTTTCTGTGCAGTGGTGTTTTTCCAGAGTTTCTATTCTTTTATTAAATTATTTATGCCCTCATTTATGTTTTTTTTAAATGATTATTCCTGTTATTATTCGATTACAAATAACCTCAGAATTCTCTCTCTCTGTAAAGCACTTTGGCCAACATCTGTTGTTTTTAAATGTGCTCTAAAAATAGACTGACTTGATAGTTAGTTTTCCATCTAACATAAGTAACGACACCATTTCCATGACATCACTCTGTTCCAGCGCTTTGACAGCTGTGATCTGTAGAGCTGCGTGTACAGTATGAAGAACACAGCTTAATGGTTATTGCTCATCTGCAGGCAGGCTAATCGCTGTGACAAGCAACTCCTTAAATGCTAAATCTCCAAAATAATAGACAGAGTGCTTTATGACAGAACCATCGCTGAAATGATTAATTTACTAGTTAGATAACTAAATTAATCTGCAATTATTTTGATAACTGATTAATCGCTTTGATCGTTTTTCAAACAAATATGTGAAACTTTCACTGGTACAAGCTTTTTAAAGGAGAGAATCTGAAGCTCTATCACATATGACTGTTGGTCAGATGAAACAAGAGATTTAAAAACAACCTGGCTTCTGTCACACCAAGTGGCAGTAATACTCAAATGTACTGAAAAAAGACATTATATAATGACGCCTTGTCTCTTTAGATTTGCATGTATCAAGAACCTACTAGATGATGGATTTGCTTTTTCTGCTGTGAAAAACGTTAAATCAGTTCCTTGAAGCCATCACACCTATGGAAGGGGCACAGTGAGGAACACGTCAGCTCTTCTGAAACAGGTGTGACAGACACAAAAGGCCGAGAACCACTGCAATACGACAATGCTAGTCCTTTGTTTACAGACATACATTCAAAAGCAAGTTGGGTTAATCATTAACCAGGGTTTAGTTCTCTCATCTGACAGTCACTGAATCCTTACCAGGCCTATCACAGATGTGTTTGTCACTGTAAACAGAGCAGGATATAAGAAACATCCCCTCACTGGGGGACCATAGTCACAGACAAAACTGAAGCATTCTGCCCACACGTCTCCCATCACTTTAAGTAGGAAATGAGCCACTACTGACCATTCACCTGTAGCACATGTATCTGGTAGAGGTCCTCATAGCCATAGGCATGGCAACTGTAGTTCCCCATGTGGATAGTTGTCACCTTGGTGATGTACAGGGAGCCGTCATCCCCAAAGTCCTGTAACACAGAGACGAGATGGAAAATAATGTAAAGAATGAAGAGGCTAGGGTGGTGGTAAAAATACACAAGAACAAAAGAAGAGAGGAAGGGAGGCAGAGTGAAGATGGGAGAGGAAGAACAGAAGGAGCAGGAAAGGGAATAGTGGTGAAGAATGGGGTGCAGGTAAGAGCCACAGGGAGTGAGGGAGAAATGAAGGTAGCCTGATAGAATGCATAAGAATGCTCAAAGAAAGTCTGTAAAAGGAGGCTCAAAGCAGCAGGGACTGATGGGTAAAGACAAGAGGAAAAGAGTGATGTAGAAAAGAAGATGGGTCATGAATCAATGGTCTCCCTGTTGATTTGAAGCAGGCGTTGGGGAATTTGATCCTCCTCTCTCCCCTCATCACGCTGCCTCAGCCTGATAAATGGCAAGGGTTAAAAATATAAAGCCCATTAGGTTGATGAATGGAGCTGGTTGTTGTTGGTGCAGCATGCAGCAGTCACCTGGGGGTTCTAGCCACAGCTTAAGGAGGATTAAGGCATTAAATAGTTTGCTGTCCCACCACATGGCAGAGCAGATGTCCTGATTCAGCTCTGTTGTGACATGGTCTGCTTTCTTTCTGAGCGCTGTAGAAATGTGACCTGACAGAGGGTCGCTCTGTGACAGGAAACATGACATGATGTAAGGTAGACAGGACAGTTAAAGAAGCCTATAACGTTCAGGATGTCCAGTTGAGGGAAATTAAAACCATGGAGTTTTTTTTTAGGTTATGACAGATGTATTTTACTTTTAAATATTAACTCTACTTGTGGTAACTGGGCTGAGGTCATACAAAACAGAGTATGCTTCCGCTGCCTTTCTGTGTGGAGTCTGCATGTTCTCCATGTGTCTGTGTGGGTTCTCTCTGGGTACTCCGGCTTCCTCACACAATCCAAACCAGCTTAGGTTGATTGGTGACTCTAAATAGCCAGTAGGAGTGAGTGTGTGTCTGTTGACATGTCAGCCCTGTGATAGACTGGCGAGCTGTCCAGGGTGGACCCCGGCTCTCACCCAGTGTCTGCTGGGATTGGCTCCAGCCATCCCATGGCAGATAATGGATGGATGCTGTTCAGTATATTCTTACTTTGAAACTGGTGGCTCAGAATCAACTTGGAAAGTTCTAGTATCCAGGCAAACTAAATTGTATGAATTTGCTAAATTTGACCCAAACCTAAAAGCTGTCTTTCACTTTGATCACTGAGTCTACTTTGCGTCTGGCTGAAATGCAGAAAAGACACAACTGTAAATGGGAGATTCTGGCTTGGAAAGCTCTTCAAAAACATAATGGAAATAATTGTTAACCTTCGGGTTCATGAAATGTACTGATGGAACACAGGCGGACTAAAAAACTCTTAGGAGAAAAAAGCCTGCTTTTATTGTCATTCAAGGAAAATTATATGCTTTTGTAATGGAAAGAGCAGAGGAAAAATTGTGCCTGAGGATGGCCAGTGGTCACATCTGAATTAATAAAACTTGAATCACTCGCTGACGTTTTGCTTTTCAGATGCAGAACTACATCGTCTCCTTTGACCTCTTCTGCAATAGTAATTATTCTTGCTTTTTAATAATACACAGAATAGTACTGATGCAATCAGAGCCACTGACGGCTGTAATGTACATGCAAACAAAAGTAGCTATGTAGGAACGGTTTTTAATAAAATAAATTACATTAACTTCATTACTGAACTAATCATGTTTCAGTCTTATTCAGATGTACAACACTGATGTACTGCAGTAGCTAGAGCAGAAGCAGCTGTGACTGACTGTTTATCTATTTCTTCTGCTCCTGTCTGCAGTTCTGCCTTTGTTGTTTTGTTCCCGGCAATCAAACCCGGTGAACCTGGTCTGAGTCCTCCAATCTTCACAGTGCTGTTACTTGTTGAGGAACACAGAACTAATTAAAATGTAAAATATCCTGCTTTGATTGAGAAAAAAAAAACAGAGGGAGAGGCATGGTGAAAACGGTGGGTTGAAGACACCAGACGGATAACAAAAACTAGGAAGAGTCAGTAAGTGAGAGCAGACAAATGGCAGCTCAGCACCGAGGTTTATGAGGTATATGGCAGAGTACAGACAGACATGAAACCCCTGTCAAATGAAACCTCTGAAAACAAGCCTGCTTCCATTCAGCAGAGGGCAATGGTGCATCGAAAGGATTTTGACAAGACAGGAACATCTCCTCCCTGCTCTCACCCGGTTCCCTCTTTGAGGTGCCTACCTTGGTTACTGGTTTTCATCATTCAACCTTTCCCCCTCCTCTTACTTTGTTGTAATCTTACTATTCAAGGATATGAATGTAGATTTCATGACTATATAATCATCTCTGACTGTTCAGCCTGTCTTTTGGGCTACACACAAAAATGAATACAATTCTTGTGCTATAAATCAAATAATGACAAATTATTAAAGTACTGTAGCATACGCAGACATGAGTCAGGTTCTAAAGAAATCCCTCACAAAACAAAGTACAGGGGTGATCCCAATCAATACTGTTTCATCTTTGTTTTGACTGAACAGACAACAGGTAAAACACAGCCTCCCCCCTCCATGAGGATCTGTGGAAATTCATTATGCACGGTCGAGAGCCTGAGGGACCTCTGCTGCCATCAACTCTCCAGTCTCCACATAACGCTTGACATTGTTTATCGGCTCATCATTGCAGCAGACCAACAAGGCCGCTTATTAACATGCAATTAGTGAACTGCGATCCGGTGGTGGGTAAAGCAAGGCTGGCGTTGTGCTGTCAGGTGTACAGATGTGTCTAAAAAGGACCAAAGCCACATAGTTCATTAAACACAGAGCAAGCTACTTATGGAGCATGCTGGTGGGGACTTATTTCCTTCCTTTTCCCTTTTACTATTGCCCTGACACCCTTCCTTCCACCTTCTCCTGCTTAGTTAGTTGATGGTTGCTGGGAAGAGCTTTTTTTAATCAGGAAAATAGGATTCTCGGCACATTTCCAAAGAGCTAACAGCATTTAAGTTCTGCAAACTGAGTGCAAATGCAAAAAAGGAAACAATGTGATCATGATTAGAAATTAGCCGATAAACTCCCTTAGCTCTTAACACTTTCATAGCAGGATTGTGAATTTTTACATTTTAAAGAGGTGTTAATAGACCATTTTCTTTCAGCGTGAAGAGCCCCCCAGTGGTAGCCCCTCACAGCTGAAGTTGATTAAACATTTATCAGACAGGCCAATCAAAGGAGTTCTACACAGGATCAAGACCTGCAGTAGTAAATCAGCGGTAAAAGGTATTTTCATACAGTAATTCTGACTCAACTAGACTTTCTGAAAATTTTCACCAGCTTCTTTAGCTGGTTTGTGTTTGCAGCAAATCTACTGTATGGTTCAGTCGCTTCTCTCGCATCGCTCATCATCCCCATTTAGAGCAGCAGCAGCACAGCTGTTTTCAACATTGGACACTTCCTGCTCTGCACCAGTCAGCTGACAGAAAGTTAGTGACTAGCTGGTGAAGAAAGTTGAACGTCTAGGAGATAAAGAATCAGATACAGTATTTTCTCAGGAGTTCATGCAAACAAAACAAAAGCTAAGGGGAGAGTGAAACCTAGATTTGCTTTTTATCAGGTAGACACAAACAACACAAATGGGAAGATAATGTCGCCCTGGCAATGTTTGGCAACACAATCAGTGACAGCTTTAATATTTCAGGGCTGTGCCGCAGTTTTTCTACCCCCTCGTGGCCAGAAATCAAATATTAAATCAAATCAATGAACAAA